AAATTGCTGGCCCATAAAAAGAGAGAAGGAGGATGCTGGGCATGGAGAACAACAGAAATGACAAAATATTATGTTTTCAGTGGATCACTGTGTCTATATGTGCTGAGCTAAGCAGTTTTAACTGATAAGAAGAAAGAGTAGGCACAGAAAAGATTGGGAGAAGTGAGAAAAGTGAGAGAGAAGCAATAAAGTGAGCCTGAAAATTGAACAGAAGGTGAGCTGGAGAGTGAAGATGCTATTTCCCCTGTGTCTTTCTCCTTTCTTTCTACTTCTAAAATTTTCTTCACCAGCAAGGCAAGAACTTTGCTAGATGGGCATTTTTCCTGTGGGTCCCATGTCCCATGGCTGTGCCCTGGCCAGGGTGCCCGGAGCTGGATGTGCAGACTTTACTTTGCAAAAAGGCTGCGTGTCTAAGCTGGAAAAGATTGCGGCTCAAGGGCTGTCCTCTGGCGATGTGCATGAGTTTCTGAGAGTTTTTGTGCTTTGTGCTGGATTCTATCAAGTTGTCAGAATTGTGTGGGCCAATGTATAGAAGGATTATGCCACCTGCTTGTGAGGAAAGCTTTCCCCAGATATGTTGAGGGCAGGTCATCCCTAACGTGTGTTTTTCCGATGTTCCCTGTCTTGCTGGAAGGCTGTACTTCCATCACCTAAGGGTTGATGCTGTACATCATGTTCCTAATGACTAAGCAGGACTGCTGGAGAGCATGGCTCAGCTTTCCTTTCATCGCTTGTTACTGTGCTTGAGAATACTTAACTCGATCTGCAAAGTTAAGGCAGATAAATAGGGTTCTTTTTTACCTGCTCTTAATGCAAACAGTGGCAATTCCGGCTGTAGGAGTTCTCTTTATTGAAACTTCTGTTTGTTTTTTCAGACATCAGAAGCTCTTATTTTAGGAGTTCAACAAATAAAAGAATTCGGCCACAACTTGAAATATCAGCTGTATTGTTTGTTTCATGGAAAAAAGGTGCCATTTCTCTACCATTGAATTTACTGTATAAAAAAACTATACTATATCAGTGATGGTTCAAAGAAAAAATGAAATTAAATCCTTTGTTTACTCCACAGAGAACATATGTGGTTTTCCTTTCCAATTCAACAAGATATTCCAGGTGTTCATTTAACCACCATGAAACCTCAAAATAAGGTGACTTAAATAAATAAACAAGACAGACTATTCTGCTAGCCTCCATTTGAATGATCTACATATGAATCATGCTCAAGCATTCTAACAGAAGACAAGCAGACTGTAGTAAGTCCGTAAATGGCACTGTTCAGAATTGAACTTACTTGTGCTAATATGGGCAATTCAAATATTTTAATGAGAATATAACTCTTCCAGTTTTAGAAGAGTTTGATCTATCCAAAATATATAGAAGTAGATCATGCTTTACTGTGAGTAAATGAATGCAAAGGAAATTACTATAATTACTGTGAACTATAGTTGCATCTTTTTCTCCATCTTAATTTAGTTTTGTCTGTAGTTTTAAACTGTGACCTTCCATTGTGGCACTTCTCTTTGTTTGTAAGCTTTCCAACTCCTTTTTGCCACTACATGCAGAAGAGACAGACTTCTGTATGAGCTGGAGGCTCTGCTTATTCCCATTATGTCAAATTCATTTTGGAGTTAGGCATCAGAAGTTGTGCAGTCAAGTTCATTCTAGGCCAGGACATCAGGATTGTGCAGTCAAGCTCAGAACAGCAGTGCTACTTTTCTTATTGTATGCTGCTTTTCTTATTGCATTCTTATTAATGCTACTTAAAGGAAACCAGTCCATTTAACAGAAAAAAAAAGAAAAAGTAACACCCTTGCACACACTTGCAACTTTTTCTGGTATTTTTGTTTCTTTTACTCATGATTCTTAACACAAGCAACATTAAATTAATTGAAAGCAGTACTAGAAATCAGATTTAACAATTTGCAATGTAATCATGTCAAAGAAAAACATCGCTGCATAGAATTTTTATAATTACAACATTGTTTTGGAGGAAGAGCCAAGACAGAGTATGATTTTTTTTACCCCTTCAGAAACTCTTGCTCATTTTGGCCTGAGGTTAAGAATTGGATTAAAATGTGTAAATTAGTGATGTCTTTCATCAAGATTTAATGTTGCTACATGAATATGCTTTTTCAACTAGAAGGTTTGGGATTTGATTATGTTTGTTTTTAAATATTGGGAAATAATGTCTAGAAATCAAGTTAACATCTATTCTTCTTGTTCTTTAGAAAGCCAGACTAGGTTATAAGTCCTTTCTGAATTTAGCACGTATTATTCTGCAGTGAGATCCTGTCAGGTGTTGGTGAGCAAAATATCATCCAAACAGACTCCTACCTACATATTTGACAATGACTGTTTGATTTGATTCTGCAGCTGTGCATCTTCAAAAGGGAGATCACTATTTTGGCAACCTAGCATAGTCAGGTCATTTACCTGTACAACATTACTTAATCTGTTTGTCTACCTTGTTTATCATCTTGATAAAAACAGCAGAGGATAGAATTGATTTGTTATTTTCTCTCTGACATTTCATTTCCTTGCTCTTTTGATTTCAGCCACTCAGACCTGTAAGTCCTCCTCAAGTATCCATCCCCATCTATATCTTAGCAGAAAAGTGAACTGAATTTCAGAGAAATTCACTCACTATGGTGTGTTGTGTTTGCATCTTAGGCAATCATTTCTTCATGAACAAGCACGCAAAGGGCAGAAAGTAGTCAACTGCCATTTCAGTGGCTTCTTGTTGTTCTATGGCAAAGTGAAAAATGTTCATGTGACTTGACTTTGGGGGAAATCCTGTCTTGTGTTTATATTATTGATGTATTATTAGGATCTTAGTTATTGGATGACATATAGATACAACTACTGTTTTTCAGAGAAGGAGAATAAGCATGTGGTTTATTCTTTTGTACATCTTCTTCTTCTAGCTGTAGAGAGATTATGATGATTTATTAAGGATTTTTAAAGCTTTATGTTCTGTTAACACAACTCCTACAGACCATCACAGCATTTTCCTATATTGCTATATTGTGTTCTTCTGAAGTCTACAGTTTTCAATCTTAAGCCTAAACAAAATTATTATTTTTTTTCTGGACCTTCTGGACCTCCTGGACCTCTAACTAATTGAGAAAAGATGATTTTCTAGACAGGTTGAACTGGGAAAAATTTTATTCTTATGGAATCATATTTTCAGAAACCTGAAATCTCAGCTAGATGATTATGTTTCTGTGCACAGTCAACAGTTTTACAGCATAATGCATCCTTATGCCACTCTGGGCTCTCCTGGGTTTTATATTATCGCTGTCACAAATTAGGTTTTTAAAGAATAATAGACTAAATACCATTCACATACTAGTAAAGATTAGATTTTGTCATGCAAATAAGGAAGACATATTTTACGATGAGGGTGGTGAAACACTGGCACATGTTGTCCAAAGACGTGGTCGATGCCGCCTTCCTGGAAACATTCAAGGCCAGGTTTGATGGGGCTCTGAGGAACCTGATCCAGTTGAAGATGTCCCTGCTCACAGCAGGGGGGTTGGGCTAGATGACCTCTAAAGGTCCCTTCCAACCCAAACCGTTCTATGAGTCTATGATAAATAGTAATTAAACATGTTCCCAAAATATCACATTCTCTAAGATTTAGTGAAAGACAGCCAGTTAAGATGAACCAGTTTCTAAATGTAATTGATCAAAATGAATGGATTCATATCAGATTCAATAGCTGTTAACTGTAAAATTCTGTGGAATCAAATTTATTTTTTGTAAGTCTTAGAAAGTTGTTAAAAATTGAATAAATTAAAATCTGTATTTTCAATATGTGCTTAGTCATCTTGTGTTAGTATTTGGTAAAAATAAACACAAAAAACGCTGCTGTTGTTGAGATTTTGGGGCCTGTGTTTTGGCCTGGGAAATAAGTGACATTGCTTTCTCTTCCAGCTGCCTCTCTCTATTTCCTTTCTTTTATCTTTTCTTTTCTTGAGCAATCAAAAATGCTTTTCTGCCCTGCTGAGGTTTTTTACCTGTCAAAAGTTTCCTGTTCTCCACTGAAATATTATGAAGTGGAAACCTTTAGGAGTGAAGAGGAAAGTCAAATAAACAAAGAAAATAAATCTCACATATTTCAGTATAGCCAGACAGTGACACTCCTGCTGGAAGAGCAAGATTGAAATTACTGGAGCAGTTAATAATTCTACATATGAATTCTGTCTCTTCCTTAGGATGCTGCTGACAAAACATTTAACATCACAACTACAAATCAAAAGAGATCCGTAACTGCCCACAAATTTTAGGGGAAAGCTCCCTACTTTGCTCTGCTCTATTCCACTTCCACTGCTTACCCAGCAAAAAAATGATCGTGAAGTCAGAGGAACCCCATGGGAAGCTCTGCCACTGTTAAACAACCAGAGGTGGCAGAGCTGCACCTGGTAGTGACTCCATTGCTGTCACGTGCAAAATGCAGGGATAATTCTACGCAATAGTAGGAGAGATTGTACAAAAAGAAAATGGTAGATGGGGTTTCTGCTCTGGAAGTTCTCCAACCAGAACTTTTTATTAGCGATGCTCTATGTATCTTCAGGGTCCCCTGATGCTACAGACTGGGCTTGCAGATTCTGGCTGAAGGCTCAGTTTCCTTGCCTGCCATATTCTACAGTGAACTTCAAGCACCACAGAAAATTTATCTTTTAAACCCTATATATTAAATTAACTTTACTGATGAAGAGATTACCAAAAGCATAAAATCAGTAATGCAGGAAACCCCAAAAAGCAGTGGTCACAGAATATTCACGGATAATCGTACATAAACTACGGTGTGCAGCATTAGTGCAGATCCTCATGGCCAGCAACAGGCAACACCATCTCGGCCTTTTTTGATTTTCTGCTTTCACGTTTACATCTGGGTGACCTGACCTTTACATCCATCAGATATTTAAAAAAAAACCCACTTCTGTCTTTCTGTGTAATGCTAAATAGATCTGTTGTTGTTTATGTTCCTTCTGCAGGTGAACGGTATTGATCTTCGAGGTGCTACCCACGAGCAGGCTGCAGCTGCGCTCAAAGGAGCAGGGCAGACGGTAACAATCATAGCACAATACCAGCCGGAGGGTAAGCAAAATAATAAACTTAAAGATATATGGTAAAAGATAAGTGCTTTAAAGCCACCCATTTAACAGGATGAGGCTGCTGTAGATAGTGCTTTTCCCAGCTATCATCAGAAGTCATCTGGAATGAAAATTCAAGTGGCATTTCTATCCCAAGGAATTGTCTGTATTTTAGTTACAGACTTTGCTTTTAGAAGTATTTTATGCAACTATAAGAGCTATCTTTAAATGTGCATATAATAAAACAGTAGTCAACACTTAGTTAATTATTTTATTTTCATTATTGCTTATTTAATGTTCTTTTCCATTCTCCTTATGAAGACAGATAGTGCAAAATATAAGTAAAGAATAAACAGAAATGCCAGGAAGATCTGAAGTTGCTGTCAGACCAGAATTAAACAAAGACAAGAGCTTCCTGTCAGAGGCATAGAGCATCTGGTTATTGCTTTTGGTGTTCTTTTACCTCCAGGGCAATTAGCCCCATATAACGAGTACTTACTAGAGAAAATGACAGCGCTCTAAACAAAAGCATCAACAGGAAATTCAATAAATATAAGACTTTTAGGGTGCGATATATCTCATCTAGCTTTTGGTGTCTAATATTTAGCTTTCTAGACTTTAAGCTGGTTTCGGCAGAAAGAAGTAGGCATTGATTGATTTTGTTAGTCTACAGTTAAGTGGCAGAACTCCTTCTTATTGTCCATGAGCTATGACCCAAACGACTATCTGAGGCTCTCAATGAATTCATCAAAGGAATATTACTTTCTGATAGGAGCTAAATATGGCTTTCCATCCTTCCAGGTGAATTCAGCAATGACAGGTGTCTGTGAAGACTTGCTGGAACTATTTTATCAGTTTTCAGTAAACAATTCTAGCTCAGTTCCCAAGTCCTGGTATGACACATCAACATTAGTTGTTCATTCTGCCCGACTGTGCCCAGCCCAGGATATGTGTAGGTCTCAGGTGAAACAGTACAGCTCTAATAACAGTTTTTTCAGAGACTATGGAGAGATGAATTAGTAGGGACAGAATTTATCCACCGTGATACCCTCTTTTTTTTCTCTGGATCCTGATGATAGCGCACAAAGAGAAAAACAGCTGGTATTTTAGTCAGACTTACAGTTGTGCTTCATATTTGGTGTCACGCATACTTTTATTGGTTTATCTGCACTTGAGTCACCAAGCAGAATAAATTGGGCCATACTAAGAAATGTGCAGATAATAGCAAATGAAATCGCAAGTGTCTATCTTTAGTTAAATAAATGGAACATATTAATATAAAAATGCATAAGTAATCATCAGAGTTAATTCAAAGAAAAAGTATTGAAAAGCAATTCCATTACAGACAGCTATCCATGCTGGATTCTGAATAAAACCATGTTCCCATCAGTTCCGGCAGCCCTGTTTGCTGTCTGGTGATTTTATACTGCAATTATCACCATAGTGTCTGAGTGCTTGTAGCAATCACTGGCATTTCAGAGTTCTTCTGTGGCATTGTTAACACACGGAAAAAGACATCACTTGACAGATTTTTCCTATTACATTTAAACATTTAGTTGACATACTTTTCCCCTATATTTTACCAGCTCTGTAGTATGTCAAATTCAGTTTTGGTGAACGTGCAATTCAAATGATGCTGAGAAAATCCATCAAGTATTATGCTGCATATTTAGTCTATTTTTCTGATAATGCTGGTCCATTCACCAAAACCCCACTTGAGGGCAGACTAGTACCAGCTGCATGACTTCTTGTCAGTGAAGCACAGACAGTTTTTCTGTTTCACTCAAATCGTTCCAGGCACAATGAAGAGAGTGGAGCAAGTGAAGAACAGAGTCCAAAAGTTAGCCTTTTTGTAGGAAATCATTGAATCTTTTAAGGTAGTGAGAGCATTCAGTAGTTGTCCAGCATACGTTGTCTTACTGCTGAAGTATTTCCTTTTAATCTGAGATACTGGTTAATGCAAACTGCGTAAATACAGATGTTAAATGAAGTATTTCTTTCGTAAAAAAAAAATCCCTAACAGTAAAGAAAGATGAAACAGATTGAAAACAGTTGTTTAAATAACCTTCCCATAGTATTATTTAAGGATTTACAGGGTCACACAGAAAGACATACACTCTATATCAGCATAATATTTATCTTATTCTAAAGATCCTGCACAACTCTTCTGTCCTTGCTATGTAATTTATACCTGATCTCTTATTTACCATATCTTACCTTGAAGCATAGATTGGGACATAGTCATAAAACAGAGACTTAAAACTGTACAGCTGTTCTTTCTTCCAGGACTGCTCACTTTAAAATGCTTCCAAATCTAGTAAAGAACATAATCAAAATAGGCTTGCAGCTTGATTTTTCCGTTTTCATACTGGAAGCTCTGAGTTATTACTACAGTTTCAGGGTTTTAGGAGATCCAAGAATAGCCACTGCAAATGTTAACAAGTATCTTTTCTTCTTTTCCAGCTTATTAAGCCTTTAGATGTTGTTGCAAACAAAAACAAAAGCATTCAATGAAACCTTTAGCTATTGATATTTTGGGTATTAAGCAATGATAATATAAGTACCTGTCAATACTGTAAGCCAGCTGATGAGTAACAATTAAAATTGTTAGTACAAAAATCTTATGTTCCAATAATTTAGTTTTTATGCAGTAGATAAAAGCTTCCAGATCTCTTATCTTGGCAATAACATCATGTCTCCAAAAATACATATACTTTGCTGTGGGAAGAAAATCAGGTGAATACTGTAGAAACAGCTTTCAAAGTTTAAATTTTCCTTTCCTTGTTTCAAACAGTCAAAAGTTCGTCTAAGCCTCGTATGAACTCCCCTCACATTTATGTGTATAGACTTGGTGGCAAATCTCGTGAGAATGGCAACTCCTGCAAAAATTTCTAGTGCTTGCAATCAACTTGAATAGCTTTTCCTCTTGAGATTATGGCACTTTGTTTTCTCATCCTTTCTGGAATAAACAAGTGCAGAGACTAACTCAGATAACATAGAATAGCATCACAACACTTTTTGAATGCTGTCAGACTTGTGGTTGGTGATGGTGCTTATCTGAACCCGCTGCCTGTCCCTCACATGAAAGTGGTCTTGGAAATAGAATAAAATTCTGTAAAATAGCACAGGCACAGAGAACAAAGGGAGAATAGAAGTGATTTCATGAGAAGGAGCTGAATGGAAATACAAGGAATGGTATGAAGAATGGAGAACAACTCTCAGCTCTTCTGGTCTTCAAGCCCCCTTTTCCACATGTACACTCACCATCTTTATTTCCCTCATCTTTCTGAGAAATGGAAGAGAACAAAGAGGTGTGACAGTCCAAACAGAAATGCAAATTTGGTGAACAAAAATATAGAAAGAATAATAGGAGCAAGAGGAAAACGAATCACAGAGATTAAAAAAACACACCTCAGCAGAGAGACTATATGTTTATAGCTCTAGGAACAGCAGCCGTAACTCTGGACTTTTTGAGTCATTCCTTACTTTAGTTTTAAAAACTGAAAATACCCTGTGTTTTTATCTTGTGTGCATGTGTATTGTGTAAATGGAGGTCAGTTAATGTTAAGCATCATGATCTCTAATAATCACCATGGAAGTAGTTCATATGGAGGTTTATGCATATATTTAAAGTACACTAACCTTCTTGTAGGCTTCAAAAAGACAGCTTCTTGTATTCGTGTGCTGCTCACGTCTTCTGCACATGGTTGAAATGAAATTGAAGAGAATTTAAGGACCAAAACCTAATTAAAACAAAATTAGAAGAGGAACCAATCACTTGTATTTAGGTTTGCTCTCCAATTTTCAATATTCTTGGAAGCATTTTGACTCTCCTCCCAGCTTAGCAATTCCCAAATCTCTTTTAAAACACCATACAAATATGGAGCTAGCGAGGAGGCCCTTCTCTTCTGCAAAATAAAAACCCGAGCCTGGAGAATGATCTTAGGGTGAAACAATGTGTTCTTATTAAACAAGTAATTAGAAATTAAAATGGGAGTATGTACCACAGCAGGAAACCACTTTTACACTTCCATTTTTTATGCAGGACATATTTTTATTTTAATGGCAATGGTTATAAATTACAGCCCAGTATGGAAAGAGTTAAGAAAACCCCATTTTGATGGTAAAACTGAAATACATTTTCAAAGGAAAGTGAAATTTTCTTGAAATAGTGGCATTTTTTCCTGAAAAACAGCTTGGGCATGGGGTAGACAAAATACTGGACTCCTAAGGAAGCTGATAAAAAGATTTATTGCACATTTTAGTCTCAAATGCTCATGTTCCTTCCCCCTGTACCAGTGTGAAAGGGTAGAACTTAGCCCTAAGATTTTTCCGAAATATTCAGTGTCCGTGGTCTGCGAGCTGCGCTGTTCTGCATTGCAGTGTCTCTGCAGCTATTTCCTTGCAACAGTCCCCGGAAAATGGTTAAACCACTCCGAAGTGTCATGTGCTTTAAATCTTTCAAGAAAGCCAATTAACTTGCTTTCTTAACAGCTTGCGTAAAGGGAAAACACTTGTTGATGATAGTTTGATTAGACCAGCTGATGAGGAGGAGGACAAAAAGTTGCTCTGCCCTGCTCTGTTCTGTCCCCTCTTGAGCTAGCCGTTAGCCGCTTGCTTAGCGAGGCTGTACTGTGCGCCTGCTGTGCGGTGAGTAGCCGAGTGTTCGTTACAGTATTGGAGAGGTGCTGTGATAGGCAGTGTCTTTCTTTGCAGACATCAGCTGAGGAAATTACTGGAGACCTGTGCCTACATTAATAAGCATCTCATGGCAGCTGTGGTAATAAATTGACTTTTTAGCTCTTTTGTTCGTGAATCAGGGAGGCTTACATAGCGCGTTGTGACAGACCCAACACTCATAAGCAGCATCAGCTTTTACGAAGGCATACTCCTTGTCTTGCACATTTGTCTGACCTACTGACGAGTGAGATCTGCTCTTTTTAAAAGACCAGAGTAAAAATCCAGGGCTCACTTTTACAGGCCTCTCCCTGAACAGTCATGGAT